GACGGTCGTTGGCGTCAGCAACATAAAAATTAACGGAAAGCGATGGAATGGAACGATTTGCAAACTAATGAGGCAACGCTCTCATTAGGCGTGCTGTGGCATTTCCGGGAACGCCTGCTGTTCATTAGACGTCGGGGTACGGCGTTTGCATGTCAGTTTGAACAAATTGTTCAATAATCCTGTATTCATGACCATGTTCAAATTCAGTCAATTTTGCTAACAAGCCTGAAATCGGAAGTGAGTTTTTCAAAACATTCGATGGCCCCTGCAGCACAGTCTGGTCGGCCAAATTAGTACACGTTTAATTACTGGGACGGGAGAGTTGAATTCATATGGGTTTTGCAGAGACAAATGTGGCTATTAGAGTTCAGAGTGGTGAGTGTTTATTTCTGCAAAGGGCAGCTTAGACAGGCTCCCTTCACACCAGGTAGAGCTGGGGGGGGGGGCGTCCTTTGCCTGACCAGGTCACCTTCCAACCCGGTCCTCAGGGACCCCCCCCCACAGTCCACGTTTTTGCTCCCTGCTAGGTAGGACAATGTGCAGGTCCCTGAGGACCGGATTGGGCAACACTGCCTTACATCATCGTACCATGTTTGGCCTTAGATGCTTTTGGGCTATATTTGCCTATTTGGTTTGAGGCAAATAAAACATCCAAAAAAAAACACTCCTGTAATGCTGATTGAGACGATGCATTGGTTAGCACTGTTGCCCCACACTGCTGGGGCCAGGGTTGAGTCTCCACCCGAGGCTCTGTGTGTGTGGATCTTCTCCCCGTGTCGTTGTGGGGTTTCCTCCAGGTTCTCCAGCTTTTCCCCACAGTCCAATTAGATGCTGAGGTGCCAAATTGTCTGCAGGTGTGAATGTGTGTGTGAATGGTGAGTGTGTGTGTGTGTGTGTGCCCTGTGATGGGTTGGTGCCCCATCCTGGGTTGTTCCCTGCCTTGTGCTCTGTGATGGGTTGGTGCCCCATCCTGGGTTGTTCCCTGCCTTGTGCCCTGTGATGGGTTGGCGCCCCATCCTGGGTTGTTCCCTGCCTTGTGCCCTGCGATGGGTTGGTGCCCCATCCTGGGTTGTTCCCTGCCTTGTGCCTGTAGCGTCCAGGATGGATCCTTCATATGTTCTCAAGTGCTAGTAGGTATAGGATGAATGGATGGATGGTAGAGAGCGAGTTTGATTAGCTGTAGTTCTGGGGATCTATTAAGCCCATATTTTGAAAGGAGCTTTACGCAGCAGCCAAAATCTTAGTCGATCTGCGTGCAGAGTAGCCTCTCGTAGTTTCAGTCCGGCAGCCTTGGAGAGTAGCATTGTCATGCCCAAGGACGATGGCACGGTGACGGTGACACGGCGAAGGTTACTGCAGGCGAGGTGCTTCGACTGCTGATGAAGGCCTGCAGCTCCTGCTTTATCCCCATCTCATTCGAAACTGACGCTTCGCATTGACCCTCGTATCCTCTCTCTCCTTCCGTCACACCCCCCTGGAGACCTGCTGTCCCGTAGGCGGGAGTTCAATGCCATCGATCAGCCGGTCGTAGGCCCGGGCCCTGACCGTGACAGAATGCCGACGGAAAATGTCACGTCTGGATTAGCTGCTGTGAAGCTACGTTCTCCTACGGTGCTGATGGAATCTTCCTTTTACATGATTTTATTCAAGTTTAATAATCTCTAGCACCAAGCAGCTTTCTAGCCCAGTGTTGACAGAACCCTGCTGTAGAGAAAAGCAGATATGTCATTATTGATTGTACTGGATGTGCTATTATCTTTCTTCATGTTTTTCCCACTCTTAAACTTAAGCAACTGAATTGTTTTTATTCTGAATTAAATGAGACGATGGCGGCCCAGAATTTCTCCGCTCTCCTGAAATAGTCTCTTTGGTTCCTCTTCTGTTTTGCAGCAGATTTTCAGAATAATTACTTGGAATCTTCGATTTGAGTGAGAATAGCAAATGAAGTGTGGGACAAAGCGTTTTGGTTCTGTTCCGCTCTCGTCCTTTTCCTGTAGGTCCTGCAACAAGGTGATGTCCTGGTCTTTCTTTTTAACTAAACAGTTTATCATTAACCCAGACTACAGGTTCATTGATAGATGTCATTGTTGAGGGCATTATTATTGTTCTGCTAAAATAACATACAAAATTGATGTTACCATGATATATGCATATGTGTATATTTCAAAGTAGAAGAATAATTAAGTTTATTTTTAGTCGATTTTTTTACATTTTTAGGTTAAATTTGCACGTTTTTTTTTTTTTTTTTAAACAATTTGAAAAGTTCAGTTGCTCAGTCTCCCTCATTTCCTGTGAGCTTCTGATTACTTGTTAACTGTCAGAACTAACTATGGTAGGGCGGTGATTAGAAACCATCTACTTAATAAGGCCATCACTGACCAAAAGCATTAGCTGTGATAGGTCTTAAAATACCAGCAATGTGTGTAATTACCCAAAGGGTTTTTAATTGTATGTATGTCAGGAAGCTTTTAAGTTTGTGGAAAAGGGAGTTTTTTTCCAGCAATGTGTATTTGATAAAGGTTTTGTGCCAATGTGTGCTTTCCTTGTCATATAAAAGTCTGCATAACATCCGTTTTAGACTGGACCTGCATTGAAGTTCCTGAGTATCCTTTTCTCAAGCGACTCCTGAAACCCTGCTGAAACCCTGCATGCACAGATAATATGATCTTTGCAGTGGTATTTTTTACAGGAAGGCATAATATTGCCCAGGAGAATTATTCCCAGCTTTGCCATTGTAAGATATAACCCGTGAATGAAACAGAGTAATGCATCGAAATGGCTTAAAACTGGAAGTAATATTCTTGTTTTCTCCTAATGTCCCCATGAAAAGGCATTAAAATTTTTTTTTTTTTCCATGGATTGCTTTTTACACACGCCTTACCCCAAGCAAAATCTAAACAGTAAATGAAGTGTTGACTGAAGTACGGGGAGCAAAATAAGTCAAAATGCAAAATCATGGGACAGATACCCAAACATCATGTAGAAATGGCTCATTCACTCCAGAAATGAATGTCTGGCTGTTGCTGCTAATGAAAGTTAACGTATACTTAAGGCTGATTGGGGAAATAATATTTTAGTGCGAAAGTGATGTTTTATTAAACAATTTAAGTTGAAGCTCCGTCTGTGTTTAAACATGTTGTAGGAAACTCATTGTTTTGGGAAGTGATGATTATACATTAGGTGATATAAAGGTATTTTGTGGTACTTGTATCTTTTAAGTGTTTGTTTGCACCATGAGTGCGCTGTCACTTTGGTAGGTCGACTTAAGTAAGCATCTTAAATTAGTGACAAGTGTAGCTACTCAACACTGTGACCCTGTGCTGCAGGGGTGTCAAACTCCAGTCCTGGGGGGCCGGAGCCCTATGCATTTTTGGGTTTCCCCTCATTTAACACACCTGATTCACCCCCTTGTGCTAATTACCACACAGCTCTTGAGCGGGATCATTTGTGGTGGAACAGGGAAGGAACTAAGCTACACAGGACTGGAGTTTGACACCCCTGCTGTACTGGATTGGTAATGATGGATGAATGGATGTAGCCACTCTAGATATAACTCTGGCATTCATTTCCTTTCAGTCTGTTACCTTCCAGAAGGGAACATGGCAGCATAGAGTCATTAAGAAAAATCATGTGGTGCTTTAGACCATATTAAATACAGAAGGAACTGAAAAATGAGACCCGGTGCAAGAACAGTCAGGGTTCTGGAGCCAGACAAATGGCTGCGATGTGGCCCTTCTTTGAGGCGTCAGGTGCCGGGAAGCGTGTCCCTCTGTGACTCGTGAGGTGTGGAGGTCTTTAATTATGTAAAGTCCCCCCCCCCCCCGATTTCTTTATGAAATTGGTTTCACCCTTGCCCACTGTACCAGCGTGAATAACGATGACTCGCACAAAATTCAAGGCCGTCGCCCTTCATGGCTGCGGCCGTCAGTGCTGCCCTGCGTATGCGCAGTCGCAGTCGCAGTTGCTCATGCTGCTAATTGCTCCCCCCACACAGTGTCTGCAACCGCAGCCCTGATTGTGGAAATTTTAGCAGCAGCGTGTGGCCGCCACAGCCTTAAACCCAATCCCGGATCGTCCGTTGAGGCAGCCATAAATATTTCACACAATCTGTGTTGTTAATAAGAAAATATCCTGGGGCGTTTACTGCGCCGAATGCCAGATGACGGCCCTCCACCAGCATGCAGGTTGCAAGCCGTTGTTTTTATTTAAGATGATTTATTTCTGTGTTCTTGTTGCAGTGCTGAGCTTGCTGGAACACACACAGTCAGCCACCATATGTTTTACAGGTACAGATACGTTCCTAACGTTCTTCATTAGATGTTTAACCCTAAAACAGCATACTGGCCTCACTGGTGCAGTGAGTAGGACCTTTTTCCTTGCACCTCCAGGGTTGTGGGTTCAGATCCTGCCTTTGTTCCACACGCGTGGAGATGGCGTGTTATTCCCATGTTGCCTGAGTTCCCTCTGAGTGCTCCAGTTTCTTTCCACAGCCCACAGATGTTCTGTTAGGCCAGGGCTCTTCAGATCTGGACCTCGATTCCAAATCCAGGCCTTGTTTTCAGTTCTCCCAGGTATGTAGTTTAATAATGACTGATTCTGATTGGCCACAGAGGCTTCACACCTGGCTGACAGGTAAAGGAAGGCTGGAAAACCAGCAGTGCTCGGACCTCGAGGACTGTGAGTTGAACAGCCCTGTGTTAGGCTAATTGGCTGCTTTTAAGTTTAGGGCTGCACAATGTCGCATCTCGATATGTGAAATTTCCATGAATAACAGTGATATTTATAAAACAAAAGATGAGATGAAATTATTTCAAATAAACTATAGCCAAACAGAACTTATCTACCAACAGAGTGTGTCAGATGAGTTAGTTGTGTTGCCAAACATCATGTTAATAGTGAGAAACTGGTGCTGACAAATGCGATGCATTTATTGCGCATGCGCACGATATATTGCACAGCCCTGAAACATCATCGGAGTAGTGTGTGTGTTTGCAGAGTGTGACTGGCCTGTGATGGATTGGCGTTCCGTCCAGACTGCCCCCACCCTCGTGGTCTGTCCCGCCCGGGGTAGGCTCCGCCCCCCTCCGTGATGCTGCCCAGGATAAGTGGTCAGAAGATTGATTGGATAAATAACTCTTTGCAGCTGAGAATCACGTGACCATGAGTTGTACTGCAAAAAAAAAATAAAACAAGTATGAGGCTTTTTGTATTCAGAAGCAACGTGAGACGGTGCCACATGGATCCCCCTCCCCCACTGTAAAACGCCCCTCTGAGAGATGAAAAGCATGACTTACAATGGCAGTGATTGTGTTCTAAGAGAATGAATGCCCTGTGTCTGGGCGTGTCCTGCTGCTATGGTGACGAAACCCCGGAGAACAGGGACCAGGTGTCCGTTTGCCCCCCCGCTGGTACTGACATCAGGGGTCAGCTGAGGTCACCGCCAGCCTTCTGATGGTGCTTGTTTGCCCGTCCTGTACGCCTGTCCTGTTTGACCAGTGTAGCTACACTGTCGCAGCTGGTCGCTGGGATCGTCGTGGGCGGGCCGGCGCGTAGCTCAGTGGGTTAGACCTCTGTACTTGTGTTCAGAAGGTCACTGGTTCGAATTCCGTCCTTGGCAGAATAGTCGTATGTCAGTGGGGCCCTTGAGCAAGGCCCCCGAAGCCCCAAAATGGCCCCAGATAAGTCTCAAAGGAGAGCATGATGGGATACGACCAAAGAAGCATTTCCTATGTAGCTGTACTTGCGTACACGGCAATTAAAGAATCCTTTCATCTGAAAAATGGCCCCGTCATCTCTGGGTGACGGATATTTGGCGTGACTGGCCGTATTCCCTGTGCTGAAGTAGAGGAGGTATGAGGTTATTAACTGGCAGGAGCCGCTCCGTTAAATTAGCCAGAGGGTCAACACAGCGGCGTGTTTGCCGGCAGTGCCCCACACTGCACTGTCACGCCGCTGTCACACAGCAGCGGGCGACGACCGTGTCCTGGTTTCTCATTGCCCTCCGTCCCCATTGTGCTGCCCCCCCCCTCCCCACCACTGCACGCCGCACCTGCGTCTTTCAGCATCAGGTGTCGCTCTTTTTGTCTGAAGACCGTAGGTGCTTGTGGTCGGTGCCCGATCCGCTGGATTTTTCCCGTCAGTGAGTGGGATCCCTGGACCTGTTCCGACCGTGGACGAGCGTGTGTTGATTTTTAACCGTGCTTTTTCGCTTTCTGAAAAAGCTGGGATCTCCCTTGAGGATTTCCCGCAATTGATCCGTTTGCACTGCCAGAAATGTTTGTTTTCTTGACTAAACTCTATAGCTGGAAGCATCTCAATTTTAATACATTTTGTAAAATATTTGCTTTACAATGTGTGTTTTTAAAAATCTATTTGGCCCATACTTTTTTAAATGCCATTCAATGACCTGAAATCCCAACCAGGGTTCTCTCTGCTGCCTGCCATAAGCTCTAGCCCCCCTCACAACCCTCTATGTGTACGTGGACAGAGATGGATGGTTGCTAGAAACAGTATGGTAGTGAAATTGGTAACTCCATGAGTTTAGGGGTCAGTTTCTGCCTCCTGGCTCTGTGTGTGGAATGTGTACTTTACCCTGATATCTGTGTGGTTCTCCTCCTGCAGGCCAAGTGAATGGTTGCTTGCAAATTGCCCTTGCTGAGTGATATTGCCCTTGCTGAGTGATATTGCCCTCGCTGAGTGATATTGCCCTCGCTGAGTGATATTGCCCCCTCTCAAGACTCAGCGTGACCCTGAACAGTATCACATGTACAGCGGTTATGCAAGATGGATGGATTATTTATTTTTTTTATATTGTAAAGTGTATTACTCTTATCTGTTCTAATTTCCATTAACAAAATGATAACCATATATGTAAATTTGTAAATTTAAATACCCATTTAGTAATTATCTTTTGCATGAGTTGTTTTTGCAAATCAGTTGATGACCTGAATATGGTCACCCCTTACAAACACTTCACAGAGAATAAATATATTAACTCCTGTTCAGTGTTACCATAGTTATAAAAATTAATGGTATACTGGGATGCTAAGTACTGTATTATAAAACCATAATAAGGAACATCCTCCACTACATTTTCTTGTTATTATGTAACTGTGATTAGATTGTTGAAGTTAAATAATATGAGTTAGTATGAAATATGGGGGTTTGAACTGTCAGGCTCTAAAAGAGATGAAGCTTCGCTGAAAATGGAGTTTTAAGATCACCGTGTTCTGAAGACCCGGAGATGAAAACCATGATTCCCTTTCATGAATTGATTGTTCCCTCAATTAGGAAATTCCTTCAGAATCGTGAATCGATTCCTTCATTAATGCCCCGTCCCCCATCAATTTGCTTTTCCGTTGTGGAAGATCGCTTTCATGTTTAATAAAATTATATTCAAGTCGTATTGCATTTATTTTAATGTAGGCTATTAATTTTATTTTTTTATTAAACCTTTAAATGTATTCACTGTTAACAGGAAAAAAAATTTGTCAGGAATTTGATGATATTGCTTTTAGTGGCACATCTGAAGGGCAGTATTACTGCAGAGTCACCGTGACAGTAATGATGCTTCGAGTCGCATGGTTATAATTAACCGTCGTCACTGGCTGGTGTGACCCACTACCCATTGGCTACTCTGTAGGTTCCCACTTGGTTAACTCAAAGAATATCTGACCGTACAGAGTAAGCCTGACCGCTCCCATTCTTCTGGAGCCCCTACTGTCATTTATCTGGGTCACAGCAGACGTCCTGCAGGATGATGTCTTTGGAGTTTGGATTTGTGTGGTTTAATTCATCCATGCTATTAAATTTGTATAATCCTAGCCTGTTATTCACAGAGAAGATTTATACCAGCGGTCTAATATTCTTTTTGTTTGGAGAAGGAAAAACCGGATGACCTTATGTATATATGCAACAGATTTAGCACAACCCAGTTAAAACGGTCAAGCAAAATTGTTGATGGTGTTTACTCTTATTTTGACATTCGGAAACTGCACGTATTGTTATGTTTACATGCTGCCTCTTAGGTAAAAGTTTGATTTTCCTTATAAGGAAAATGAATCTCCAGATGGGAAGTTTGTGAGCCTTTGTGCCAGGAAGAGGCGACGTTTGGCTGCACTGGTCTCATTCTGAAGATTATTTTTACCCAGAGTTCCTTCCGGAGTTACATTCAGGATTGCGTGCACGCAGACAGTGATTAAGTGCCGCCAGGTTTTCTTGCTGAGCAGGCTTTTGTAACTCATGTGCAGATACACAGCAACTGCTGTTCAAATGGTGTGAACCCCAGCTGTTAGCTACACGGCTTTGAGGTGTGCATATAGGATCATATAGGGATGAGGTGTGCATATAGGGATGAGGTGTGCATATAGGGATGTCTGAGTAGGAAACGACACGCGAAGCATGCGCATGCTATACAGCGGCAGCCAATGGGAGACGGAGCAGTGGCTACAATCAGTTGCCGTGGTAATTAATGACCAGTCCTGTGCCAATCATAGAAGTTCAGCTGGCCCTAATCGCCCAATGAAGGATGAGTGGGGCTACCTGGGTAGTTTGTTTTTATATATATAAAATATAATCTTGTATGTTAATTTATAAGAACTGAACATTTGCATGCCCTTCATTCTTAATTTTGGGCCACATTGAGCTTTGTGTATGGTATTTATTAAAATAATAAATGTATTATATGCTTTGTACCGTTTAATAGAGGCTTGTATCCAATATAACATATTTAATGTCCGACATAAATCATACAGGGTGTTTTGCTGAAGAAAGGTCTCTTGCCAGCTGCCTCCTGGGGTTGAAAATGGCACCATGCTGACCCTGTCTGTGATTGTTTAGCATTTTCCTGTTTTTCTTCCTGAATTTTGTACTTTTTATTATTTTTTTTAATGATCTGTGGGTTCGTTGTTTTTCAGCCAGTTTCACTCCCTGCTGGCAGTTAGGTTGCCCCCCCGCTTTTGGCCCTGGATCCACGGTTTTCCCAGCAATGCCAAGATCTATATCAAATTTTAAAGGGGAAGGGGGTCATCCTTGAACTCCAGTGCACACTGCCCACTTGCATTAAGGACTTAAGAACAGATGCAGTTCCTTCTCCCTGGATCAATAATTCAGGGCCCATGCATTGTTAAAGATGGACGAGTACGAATGCTGTCGGTTGTCTCTCCGTGCAGGAGTTGGTCTCCGGCTTTGACGGTGGGGTCGGTCGCTGCGGAAAGCCCAGAGGAAGAGCGTCTGCCCGACGGCGGGGATGAGGAAGAGCAGGAGCGTGCTGACCGTGTCGCCCGACGATGTGAGTAACTTATGGGGGGGGGGGGGGGTGCATGTCTCCCCCACCCTCTCGCTTCCTACGCCCCTATGTTAAACTAGACCAATGGATCTCAAACTATCCAACACTAGTGAAAGGAGTGGCCCTCTCTAGTGGTATTTGAAGGTATTTGTGTGTGTTAAGGATTGGCCGTAATGGTGGTGACACCCCCACAGCCGGCAACTTTTACCAAGCCCCCATCCCCAGTCGTCAACTTTGCCACTGGTAAATGGAGAGCCTAATATTTTCCAAGCTGGTATGCGATGTAATGTAAGAAATTTGAAAACCACTGAACTTGGATGTTCAAATCCTACAGCACAGTTGAAATAAGTTCACAGTTGCAATCATCAAAAAAATTGCTTTGTTTCCAAAATGATTCATCTTTTAACAGCGTTTCAGACTCTGTGAAGTAGCCGTTCCCTGTTGTGACCAATACCAAAGCGCTCTGTTGCCACAGATCCAGTACATTTTTTGAAATAGCGGGAAGTAGCCTCATTAAATGCAGGGGTGTCCACAAAGCAAAATAAACATCTGAGAAAACCTGCCCGGACGATTGGCTGCTTCGACGCACTCGCTGCGTTGGCGGGGAGAGAAAATGAAGGCGCAAACCTAGAGATTCATCGCACGCTGCCGGCTTGAAATGACAGAGGTGGGGCCTGCCGGTGACTGGAGACAGGAGGCGTCCATCAACATGCCGGGATGAAAAGGCGTCAGTGCCAAAGTGAGCCATGGGCATCTGATGAAGGCGAAGCGGCTGGCTTCTGCCAGTGGGGAATGTGGAGGGAAAGGTCGGCCCATCTCTGTGTTCTCTCAGGGTTTGAGACTTTATTGTACGTTATTCGAGGCCCCTTGATGATCTAGACTGCAGGAACTTTATGCTTTGTGGCTTCCTTATGTGTTCTGCCTTTTGCACCACTTCCTTCTCAAGAATGCTTTCCAAAGCCCTGCATTCCTCACCACTTCCTGCTCACTTCTCACTTCCAACACCCTGCATTCCTCACCACTTCCTGCTCACTTCTAACACCCTGCATTCCTCACCACTTCCTGCTCACTTCTCACTTCCAACACCCTGCATTTCTCACCATTTTTTACTCACAATCCACTTCCGGCACTTCTTACTGCTTCCCAAGTACCACAATTACTTACCAAGTACCACAATTACTTACCAAGTACCACAAGTACTTACCACCCCAGCTTCTAAAACTCTGCATTTCTCACCACTTCCCACTCAATTCCTGCCTTTGATGGTCAACCATGCCAAAGCAGATCTTTTTTTTTTTTTTTTTATAAAAATTCTCATGGCAATAATGGGAGACCTGCAGAGGTGATCCTTAGCGGAATTAATTTTTAAGTTGTTTTTTTCTACATCACAAATGCTGTACATGTGGTCCTTTCGACGTTTCACACCAGCGACTCCCAAATAAATATAGACCAGAGATCAAGGCCCCCTGTCACTAATGTGCGATCACGTTAACAACCAAGAACCACGTGACACATCTCTGCAGACCCCCTATGCTGGGTGTATGGACCCCTAGGGCACATGTACCTCAGTCTGAAACCCCCCCGCTGTAAAGCTTCTCAGTGAATTTTAGTCCCTAGAGAGCGCTACAGCATAAACCATAAAAAGGGGGAAGTTTAAAGGGGGAAAAACTCACAATCGCACATCAGCATCCATTTCAATAACAATAATATAAAATTATTATTTTCTCTTTATTGATTATCAGCGTTAAAACTGACCAGGCTGTTAACTATTAGATGATTAGTTCGTACCCTGTGCTGCACTTTTGGGGCCTTTTTGTTATTTTGTGATTCCAAAATAACAATTATGCTCATTTCCTCCTGTTAAGTCCTTTAATTGTGTTTTTATCCCCTTTTTTCCCCCCTTCCAATTTTAACTTTAACAATTTGAATTTAAAACCTCCACACACAGCTAAAGCCAATTTAATAACGTGTCACTTCCCTTGCCATCATTGACCTTTTGAGCTGCCTGAATCACTGGAGAAGTGAGAACCCCACTGGTTCGGTTAATGATGGCCGACTTGGAGAATTTCCTCAGCTATGGATTGTCAGTGTAAAAAAAGACCCCAGTGTACAGTACCCCCCCCCCCCCCACTCAGGGAGGGTGTGGGTGTGGTTTTAAAATCCGGTGCTCAGCGGGTGAGATTGTCTCTACTGTGGCTCCATCCTTCAAGAAGATAGGATGCTAACAAAACTAACGACGTATCATAATCCGGCATAAGCGATCCCCTCCGCATCTTCAGGGTACGCCGGGGAGCGCAGGCCGTGTTCGCATATGTGGGGGTGCCCCACCTTGTTTGGATCACGTCCGCCTGGCTGGGGGGGCGATGCCTCGAGTTGACGGGTCGGCTGACACGTGGCGGGGCCAGATTAAGTGAAATCCCGCCTCTCTGCGGGGGCCAATCGCACAACTCCGCTCTCAGCGGGGGCCAATTGCACAACTCCGCTCTCAGCGGGGGCCAATCGCACAACTCCGCTCTCTGCGGGGGCCAAGGGAGCCAAGCAAAGGTGTCAGAGCCAGAAGCCTCCCTTTAAATCCCAGGGAGTCGAAATGTGGAATTCCACCCCATAAAATAGCCCTGTAAATCGCTGGGAAACGACAGCGTTTGTTTTTTCAGCTTAACCATTTGGGCTGCTTGGCTCTTAAAATGCGCAGCCATGCGGCCTTGATGCGGTTGCCATGGCAATCTGTGCTCCTCATTCATTCATACCGTTGCGTGATAACTTTGCAGGAGAAGTACTCATCTGTACCCTGGTTTGTCTGTGTGTGTGTGTCTATTTCTTAGGGGGATGAATGAAGTCAAATTAAATATTGGGGGGTACAGGTCCCCCTAGTTCCTACCCCCCTTGGACCTTCTCACGTTTGAGGTTTCAGGCAGCAGAAGCTTCCAGATTCTTCAGGAATCCCCTCGTTTTTGGTTTTCATAGCGTCAGCTGGGGAGACGTTACTTGTTGCCATCGAGGATGTGGCACGTGTGCTGGGGCAGGGTGGGGGTTGCGGGGTGGGGGTTGCTTGTGTGCCCTCGTATTCGAACGTGACGGGAACTTTCTTAAAATGTGACTGCAGCTCGTACGGTAGCAGTGATGGATGTACTCGCGTTGACAGCCTGCTCTGCTCGTTCTGCTGCTCAGGCCGGCAGATCAGACGGATCTCATTTTCCAAGAGAGCTTCACTGGATTGGCAGTGAGATACAGTGGAGCGGTTTCCTTATGGTACAGACGGCCGGCTGGTGGATGAGGCCGAGACTAGAGCCGGTATCTCAGTCATGTTTTCGAAGCCCAGGAAGTATGTGCTGCGGCAGAGAACCACAATTTAGAGGAAGTATGTTTTGCACTTCCTGTTCCACAGTCTAATAACTGTGTCTGTAACCAAAAGTCCTAGCAGTGTTTTCCTGTTGTACCTTTAGGCTACTCGAGATAATTGTCATTCACTGACCTTTTTCCAGTGGTTTAAATAAAAACCAGTCAAACCGTAAAGTACATGTTGATATCAGTGTGATAACCGCTTAATTTATCGCATATTTTGCGCCCCCTCCAGGGCTGTGCTGGTACTGCAATGCATCAGTAAGTGACGGGTGCAGCTCTGGATTCCCTGAGAGCCATATCACGGGGTTTGGGGCTGTTTGGAACCCGAATGGGTCATGCCGGTTCCAGGCAGTCGGCAGCATTCTCCAAGTGGTGTAAGAATGGCTAATCCGCCTCTTTGGTCCAGCCTCCCGCGGTGTGGCCGTATGGGGTCAGCAGGAGACCAGCCGAGAGCTGTCTGCCGTTACCGCAACCCCCCCGCCCCCCCCGCCCCCCCAGGCTCTGCATGCTGGACCGTCAGTGTGATCTCCTCCTTGCTAAGCCTGGCGCATGCTGCCACGCCCTGGCGAGCATCCGCTGATGTCGCCTCTGCATGCAAGATCGTTTGATCTGTCGCAGTAAAAACTAAGCAACAACAAAAAAAAAAATTGGATAATCTGTCCAGAAGAGTTTTTTATTTTTTAAAATCTACCATGTCTGTTTCCATATGGAGTGACGGGGAATTTGAGATGGAGAGCTCACCGTTCCGCTGACGCTTGCTTGATATCTCTGTCACTCCCGTGCTCTTCATGTCTTCTGTCGCATGCCGTGTCTTTCTTTCATGCATCCAGCTTCTGAAATGAGGGAGGCTCATTGGATGACAGAGAGCCCGCACACCTTGCCAAAGGGTTCCTGTCCCCCCCCAGGGGTGAGAGAGATTTGACAGTGCATATGGTTGCTAGTCCCGCGAGAGCTTTTGAAGGGAATTGTGTCCTAGGAATGACAACATGAACGTGAAACGTCTTTAGCTGTAACTGAATATACGTTGTCAGTCTATCTTACCTTAAACCCTGTGCTTTGGGTTGGGCTCCATGTTGATGTTACGCTAAATGAATAAGTGGCTGAGTTAGGATGACCCTTACATATACCATCAGTGCTGGAGACCGGAAAGAAACCACTTTGATGCCGCCCAGGAAAAGTGGGCCTTGACTGTCCCTTGATGCTTTCATCTTTGTGATGTAATGAGTAAATCCAGCTTCCTGTTTTCCATTGGCTAGTGAAGGTCAGGTGGAGGGGAATGATAGCCAATGGGAGCTTCTTCCTTATGTATGAGTTCTTGGTCTGTTTTTTTCACTTCTATGAATATAACATTCATATCTCCAAAGTGGGAAGCAAAAGTGCACCACGAAATGGGGATGATGTAATACATATGGGGGGGGGATTATTTCATTAGTTTGATTTCATTGGTTTCCAATCTGGTTTTGTCTCACTGGTTAACCCACTTCCCCTTGGTTACTTTCTGGGTTCCCTCAGGGATAAACCCACTGGTGGCTGACGGCTCGGGACGCTCCCACACGCAATGCTGACATCTCGTCTTCCTCGTCACCAGCTAAAGATACCAGCTTATGAAGTTCTGCCACACACATTAAAAAATGATGCAAATCAGATTAGATGAAAATCTTCTACATACAGCAGCAAGGGTCAAAAGGCCCCAGACAAACATACATTCAGTGCAAAACCGTCAAGTTGCGAAGACGTAACAAAGTGCAAACAAATTAAAATAGAATCCTGAAAAACAATATTATAGAATATTAATGAAATAAATACTGAGAGGAGAAATGAATACATCAGCAGATGGTAATGTGCAATTAAAAATAAACACCAGACTCTTACCAGTGCTAGGGGTGGGACTCTTTCTGACATATTTGACCTGGGGTGGGGGCAACATGTTTGGAGAAATACATAAAGGCCTTTCTGTGCCAATCAAAATATCGAGGTAATGTGTCTAATAAAAGGAAACGCGGTGCAGTGAGGTCCAGTTTGCCACAGAAAGCCTTCGTGGTGCTTGCAGTCAGCACTGGAGAGGTTCCACCATGTCTGTGTTCCAGGGTGCTGCACAGCATGCATAGAAAGTGGAATCAGTCAAGTGGACAGTGCAGGACACCATGTCCTTAATAACTCCCCAAGATCGTGTAGGACATAATAAATGAGTAATAGCATTTTAAGCTCCCCGCTCTTAAGTAATTACACAGTGATGTTTCTTGGCTGTGGTTCATCTTATGTTCTACAAAGGCAAAACATTACAAAGGACTTCGTGAATCACAGTATGTTTTGAATCACTGGCATTTAAATAGCGGGTGGGGAGTCTGACTGTGTTTAATGTTGAGTTTGTCAACTGTCAAATGGACTCAATCTGGAGCAGGTCCTACGTCATTAACCTTCCAGGCCACCGCAGTGGAGACGTCGTTTTCTTCTACAGCCCTTCGCACTCATCTGGGATTGTCGCAGTTAGGATTTGGGACTGTGTGCTCGGTTATGGTGCCATCTAGTGGATGTGAACTAACGGAACGTGTTTGTTGTCGCCGTGTATATTGCGCTGTTATTAAAATGAGTACACATTTAGTTTTGTGTTTTTTTTTTTATGAAAAGTGAAATTAAAATGTTGTTCACCTGTGTAATTTCTTCTTATTTTTTCCCATTTTAATATATTATTATACTGTTTCCAGGCTGGGGTTTGTAGCACGCCTGTAACCCGGTATTTGTCTAAGTGCTTATGGGTGGGTAGTTGGGATTGCAGCACACGACTGGTGTAGCTCTACATGCTTATTAGAACAAAAGCCTGAACGTGGATTACGGCTGATCTCCCTGCTGCTCTAAAGGTTAATAGAAGTATGGAGGGCTGACACTCGTATGATTAATACTTTGATTAAGTCTTTGGATCTCGCGCTGCGTACGTGGTCCTCTGTGATAAGCTGTTAAATCATTTCGGCATTTATTAAGGCCATTTGAAATACAATGGGTCTGATGCCCCCCCCCCCCCCGTTTTATGTTATAGGACAGTAGGGAGGACTGTGAGGTCACTGAGCCCTCCACTGCCTACACCCTGGGTGTCGACTTGCGTCGGGGACGCAGGCGTCACTCTGGCACCTTACAGCTGCCCCCGTTGTCATGGAGACAGGCCGAGAGGTCGCGCACCCCCGATGATGACCTGATGTCCCGGCCCACCACCCTGCCCTTTATGAACCCGCCCCGCATCGACATCACACCTGTCGACCCCGAAAGGTGAGTCTGCGCTGCCCCACCCAACCCTAACCCTTTTACCATCCTCTGCTCGCCCGCGTTTTCCTCTCAGAAGTACAATCATTCTTCCGAAAACTCAGCGCTTGTCCAACGCTTTTCAGGGCCCTAAGCAATATTTGATTAACCTTGTTCTCATTTGTCATCATTTTTTTTTCCCCACTCTGACGGGCTGATCAGATAGAAGCGCCCCCTGATGGCCACTGTGCTCTAAGCAGCCACTTAGTTCACTTGTGCTTTGGACTTGTCCTGAAAAATCTCACTAGCCTGAGAATTTGATACATTTTTGGTGGATATTACATACTATTTATACTTTATTGAGCTTGCATTGTCTCCTTTTATAGCACAGGATGTCAGTGATAAACACTTGCATTTCCTAGCAGGCCCTTTTTCGATCAGTCTGAGATCAGTCTCTGTGTCGGTCTGAGATCAGTCTCTGTGTCGGTCTGAGATCAGTCTCTGTGTCGGTCTGAGATCAGTCTCTGTGTCGGTCAGACCCCTAAACAAGCTGCTGCAGTTTTTACTGACATACCACCACTGTAAGGAAAGTGCTGGAAACACAACTCCGTGCCCGACACCAGCACATCTCTGATGCAGCTGTACTGCCCCACACAGGCCAAACACAGCAGCTACACGGAGACCCAAACTGTGAAAAAGGGCGTTTTGCCTTGGTTATGCTGTCAATTTTGTAATTACTGAAATTTTCACACACTTTTTTTTTTTTTTTTCTTCAAAACCAACCATAGTTGAACTAAGATATTTTGTCACCTGATAAAAACTGATCCTAAGACACCCTTTGCACGGCAATGAGTCTGTTACCAATGATGTCCAGTCATCAGGAATCAGACTCACTGCCCAGGCTGCATGTCTCTGAGCCGTCAGAGAGACACTGGGCTCAGCGTCAGTGTGCCCATATGTTACAGCTAATGAGATGATAATTGTGCTTGTCAGAAATAGAACGCATAAGGACTCGGGGCTGTTTACCCATGAACCTTTTATGCAAAACCAAAACTATCCTAGCTGTGTGCCTCTTTAAATACCTTGAGGATGGATTCAGAAGTTTTTTGTTAGCGGGCTTGCATAATTTAGGAGGTTTTCATAAGGCAGCTTCTATTGTAGATATCAAACGGATGCACAGTCTAGTCCAGACAGCTTTCTGAAAATAATACAGTTTACACACTGTTCTTAACAGTGTGAGAAATATTTTGTAAGATTTTTACAAATCTTATTCCCTATGTGTGACAAAAACCTCTGGAATTGTCTTAAAGGGAATTCTGAACATTATGTATTTTGATGTCCAAAAAATTAGTTAAGTCTTCGCCTTGCGCTAATTGCTTTAGTACGTGTGTTACAGCAGGATGTCTAGTGCGTAGATATTGCAGCCATGCAGATGGTGGTCTTGCTGTTTTTGCAACTTAACAGAAGAGGGCGATCTTACTACAAAATGAGCCTGAGTGCTTGTTTTTTATTTTCTTGCTAGCAGGGCTTATCTAGTAATCAGTTACCCAAAGGTATTCACCATCAACGGTATACGTCTTATTTGACATTTTGTTTAAAGTCCTTAATCCAAAAAATTAAAGGCAGCAGTGCTGGGAAATGAATTACGTGGATGGATATTATGTATATGCTTGTATATAGTAAAGGAGACTCGTGGCGTGCTGCTTTGGTCACACTTTACAATTGTCACAATCGGTTTTTGGCCTCGGTATTTATGCACGTTTGCCCCACCGGCTCAGCCATCTCCGTGCAAAGTCTCCGCAGGGAAAAGTGGAGCAGCTGCGCCGTAATAAAATCTGGGAGATTAAAAGCGGTGCCGGGTCTCTGAGCGCCGCAGCTGCCGTGCGACGCACGACTGGCCCATTAACCCGAACGCCCGCTAATCGCCTCTTAATTTGCAGACATCCGAGGGGCCTCTTCCTCCGTGTGCCGGTCCTGGGCGCTGCTTTCAGCCTTCTGCCGGTTAACGGCCCCAACTCGCTGTCTTGCCTGGGTTATATATTATGATTAGTGACACTATGCAGATCCTTGCCGCACCTCCAGATTAAGTAACACTTAACAGTGTTAAGTTAACACTGACTCACTCTCTTCGTCTCCTCTCATGGGCTGATTAGTGTTGTTACTGGATGGTTTCCTTTTTCATGGAAAAAATGTCCGGTTGTTTAACTGGCCGTAATATAACCTTTTCACCTTGTTAAAGTCACTTATGGCTTTATAATGGTCAGGGGTGTTTATTTTTTTCCCCGTCGTTTCCTTAGCCAAAGCCGTATCTCACGTCATCGTCCGAATTCTGGTTTCCATGTAGTGAATTATGACGAATCTGGATCAGGGGCGGACTGGCAACAAAAAGCAGCCTGGGAATTTGGGGGGTCCCCAAAATGTATTTCCTGGTGCCCAACTCGTCGTTCGATCTCGACGTGTTTCCAGGTCGATGATTAATATGATTGATGCATTATTTCATTGGTATATACACACGCATATATATATATATATATATATATATATATATATATATATATATATATATATATATATATATATATATAATGTACAGACATTCACATACATAGGTACACATATATACGTGTGTGTGTGTATAAAATATGTAAACAAACAGCTGTGGCTGTGCACCAATCATTAATCATCGACCTGGAGACACAGCGAGATCGACCCTCGGCTTGGGCACCGGGGAACAGTGGCGGTCTGCCGGGAAAGTGGCCGTACATCCTGATGCCCAGCCTGAGCCTGGTCTGGAGTCAGTGAGCGGTCTGCCGGGAAAGTGGCCGTACATCC